GATAGATGACGTTTTGGTTACATAAAATATCTACAAAGAATACATTCTAATATCTATAGGTTTGGGGGCGTTTATTTTCTCTTGTTTAAATGTATTTGAAAAAATTTTTCTTCACTGAACATGAATAATGTTTGTAAATTGAAGAGAATTAGTTATCTTTTATACAAAGACTAGTCAGTAATAAAATAACCCATCCCTCATTGCCCTATGCCCTTCAAGTATTATTCTATTAGTCCAATTGATAAACTAAAAAAATTATTTGAAAAGACAAGGATATTAAGATTTAGGATGAGAAGAACTAAATGAAAGGAGAAGCTGCTGAGGGCTCCCTACCACCCCGGTGCTACCTCAGCTTCTCAGGGAGGGCAGAGTTGGAGGCACCTCCTTTCGGGAAGTGTGATGCTTCCTTTGGAAGATTTGTGGCCACCTGGATGGCAGTACAACATCTCAGAGAGGGCAGTGGTGCCAATCTTATTCTGTCACTGGATTTCAGAAATAATGGGACTTTATATTCCCTCTTTAGAGAAAAAAAATGTGCTACAATAGTTAATAAAAGCAGCAAAACAAATGCTATTAAAATATGCCATTTTCTTATTCCCATGGAACAAAAAACTGGTGTGTCATTGCCACAGACTGAAGTATGTCGCCTCCCAAATCCATAAATTGAAGCCCTAAGGCCAATGTGGCAGCCCTTGGAGGTGGGGACTCTGGGAGGCGATCAGGTTCCAAAGAGGCCATGAAGGTGGGACCCCATGATGGGATTTGAGTCCTTGTGAAAAGAGACAGCAGTGCTGCCCACAGTGGGGAGGGGAGGGTGTGCCGGGGGCTGCTCTCCAGTCTCTGATCTCCAGAACCCCGGGGCAGCCAGAGCTATCCCTTCTCAACTCTGAGAATTGCCTAGGCCAGGCAGCGTGCACTGTCTTCCTCATGCCCATGAAACAAGGATGACAAATGCCACCCTGGGCAGGGGAGCCTTTAGTGCGTCCCAAATGTCTCCACAGTGCTGCTGACAAAGCACCAGCTTTGTTTTCTCTACAAGCCTTGATGGGTCAACTCAACACCAATGTTGATTCTAAGGAATGGACTTTCGGGTTACATTTCAGCTCTCTTCAGAACCACAGCCCCCAGTGTAGCCCCTTGGAGATGCAGACCTCCCCTCCAGCCCCAGTGCAGCCAGCCCCTCAGAGATGCAGCCCCTCCCCTCTAGCCCCAGAGCAGCCAGCCCCTTGGAGATGCAGCCCCTCCCCCCAGGGACCCCCAGTGCAGCCCCTTGGGAATGCAGATCCTCCCCCCCAGGGACTCCCAGGGTAGTCCCCTGGGTATACAGACCCTCCTCCCCAGGGACTCCCAGGCTAGCACCCTGGGGATGGCTACCTGGTGGTTGATGAGCCCCTCTGTAGTCTGGGATGGCAAACCCAGCAGCCTCTCCCACCCCCTACCCCACTCTAGAGCAGCAGCAGAGTACCTGGGGATCCTGGAAGGCCTTTGGTGCCTGGCAAGCCGTGTAACCCACCGATCCCTCGGCTTCCGGGGAAACCTGTGAGGTTTCACTTCTGGTTATTACACATGTAGGACTATCACCCACACAATTCTACTGAGCCCTGACAAAGGGGGGTGTTAACCTGCATACTTAATTTACAGGACATGTCAGCTGATCTCGTGCTACTCAAGAAACCACTGCACTTAAACCAAGTTTTCACAGAATCCTTTTTATGGACTTGCTAGAGCTAGAGGGAGCCTGGGAGGTGACTCGCTGGTGCCTCCTCCTGACACCTGGTCACTGGTAGACATTTGAAAACTGCACTTAGAACAAACAGCTTGAGGTTATTTCCATTTCTTCCGGATTTCTGAGGATGGACAATAAGGTAGGGCCAGCAAGAGGGTGGCAGCTGGGCTGGCATGTGGAGCTGAACAGTGAAGAGGCCCCTTGGGCCTGAAGCCTGCGGGGGCTCCCCAGGGCCCGCTTCGTGGGCAGCAGGAGAACCTTCAGCAGAATGACACACCCTCGGGCTGTCCCACATCTGGCCTGTGCTTCCCGAGCAGGGACCACAGAGGACCCTGAGGCCTCGCCAGGAGCTTTTAGGCACCTTTCTGGGAGGCAAAATGCTGCCCCGATAGCCTGGGGCGACTGCAAACTGAGTGACATGCTTATCACCTGCCCGTGTCCCTGTTTAAATGTCTGGGGAGACTGCACTCCGTGCCACCTCACCTGGTAGGCCAGGCACCCCGGGCCAGCCGTCGTCACCCTTGCTGCCAGGCAGTCCAATCCGGCCAGGCTCTCCTTGCGGCCCCTGCAGCCCTGTCAGCCCTGGGAAGCCTGAGGGTTGGAGTAGACACAGCATGAAGCCTGTGCAGCGTGGATTGCACACCTGCCCTGGGTGGGGCTGGAGGGGCAGGTGCGCTGTGGGAGGGGCTGAGGGCCTGAGCACTGAGTCTGGGGGAGATTAGAGCTCTCCTTCAGCTGGGCCTGCTGTGCCCTCAGACCCCCCACATTCAAGTTCCACAGAAGTAGGGCAGCCCTGTCAAAGGTAAAATACTGTGTGTTTTTAAATTTTTCTCCTGTTGTTCACACAGACGCCTCAGAGCCTGCAGGGGCTGGGCACAAATCAAGGGAGCTGCCCAGGGCCTGAGCCTGCCCACAGTTCATTTCCTCCAGCAGTTCTGGGCCCTGTGTGGACAGCTGCACATTCAAAGGTGTGACAAAGGCCACAGAGACACTTCTCCATTCTTGTGCCCCCTGCTCAGTGTTCAGGTGCCCCAGCCAGGCTGGGGAGTGAGTGGTATACAGGAGTGAGCGTCCTGGTCTGAGCAGGTGGGAGCACGCAGGGAACAGGCATGCCTGCACCCTCTGTTCTGGGGTCCTGGGAGCTGCCCACGTGGGTAAGCTTCTGGGTTGCAGAAGTTTACCTGTCTGTCCTTTCTGCCCTGGAGGGCCTTGAACTCCAGGCATGCCTGTTATCCCAGGAAAGCCGATGTCACCCTCCGTGCCCTTCTCTCCAAAGAATCCCTTTGGACCTGTAACCACAGAAATCATGTCACCTGGGGCTCTGCGCCTACTGGATGACCGTTCCCCCCCCCCCAGGACCGCCCCTGAAGGACATAAGGTCCAGGCAACATGAACAGTGTGGGGTTCACCCCGCCTCGCAAAAAGGCACGACTAGAAAGAGCCCCTCGGGCTGCCCCTACAGGCAGGAAGTTAGAACTGCAGTGATGCTCAGAAAAGAGGCTTTAGTTGCTGGGCCGTCCACCCCCTTCACGGCCAGGGCTGTGATTACTCTTCCTGCCCTGGTGTGCCGTCCTAACTTACTCTCATCCAGCTGCAGAGCAACAGAGATTTCCTGACTTTATCTTCAGTTTTCATCTAATTAAAAATGACAGTCTTGCGCATTGGGCTTGAAGACTTTAGCCCTTCTCTATGATGGTCATAAAACCTGACACACACAGCCCAACACTGGAGCGATGGCTGAGCTGAAGACAGGGAAACCCACGCACCTGATGTCCCAGCACTGCCACGTTCGCCCTTCAGGCCTGGCCGCCCCGGTAAGTCCACAGTGTCCCCAATATCACCTATGCCATGCAAAAAAGATGAAGAATCAGTCTTCTTATCGGGAGGTGGTTAGTTTGGAAACTTCTATTGTGTTAAATTCTCAGCAAGAATAAGGTGCTTCAAGATAACCAGCAGCACCTGCAGTCCCACAGCCCTCAGGGCCGGGTGAGCTGTGGACGCCTGGCTGTCCCTGTGAGGGCAACACTCACCAAAATCACCAGTAGCACCGACTTCGCCGTAAAGGCCTGTTCTCCCCAGAGCACCCTTCTCACCCTGCAAGTCAACAGGAAACCGTCTTAGAAGACCGTTAGCGGGGTAAGCGTAATTTTAAGGAGTTAGCCTATTTATTTCACTACTCCATATGCTAAAAACAACACTCCAGGTTTGTGATCTTGTCATTTTGTAATGCCTAAAGCTCATCAGTGCAGTGCAGACCACGATGGTGGCAGCGATGACCCTGCAGGCGTTACGTGGCGTAGTGCTGGATCCCCCTCCACAGCTTATCTAAGCCCCACATCGACCCCATGACAGAGGCATTCTCCTGTGCCAGATGGGGAGCCCAGGCTCTGAGAGGGTCAGGAATTTGCTTAATGCCACTCAGCCAGCGAGTAGCAGGACCAGGACATCAACCTGGGTGCCAGACTTAAGAGCTTGTCCTGTAGGTCATGAAATAGACCCCCGCAGCGCACTGTCATCTATGGGAGAGGGTGGCCACTCTATAATGATGTTGGCTGCTAATGGACTGGGACGATGTCTGGGTCAGCCAGTGCCACAGAAACCAATTTTCCTCTCTGAAGTGGCCTGCTCCCCAGAGGGAGAGTGAGGGTTCTGATCTGTCCTGGTGCTAGTGGTCTCCACATTGGCACCGACCCGGGGATCTCAGTACTGTGGTGTCAGTGCCCAGGCAGGACTACACTCGAGGTCTGAACCATTAACACAGCCACTTTTCTGGGAGCCTGGGACATGATGCCCATGGGTGGCACCCTTGTTTAGATAATGATCTGTTTTTCTTTCTCAAATGTATCGAGACAAATATAACTTACACAGTAAAACGCACCAGTCAGTGAAGTGCTACTCACGTGCTCCCCAGATAAAGCCAGAACATTCCCAGCCTCCTATAAAGTTCCTAGTTGGTGACCTGCCCGAGGGGCCACTGCCTGACACCTCCATCAAACAATCTTGTCAGTTCTTGGACTTGACATAAATAGAATCGTATCATATGTACTTTTCTGTTTCTGCTTGATTTTGCTCAACATCAAAGTCTGTTAGATTTAGTCAGATTGTTGCTGAGTTTACAGTAACCTCATTTTATTGCTGAGTTCAAGTCCATTGTCTGAACATAATGTGTCTGTTTATTCCTTTTCCTGTTCATGGGCATTTGACCGTTTTCCAGTTTTATGCTTTTTATGAATAAAGGTGCTGTGGACATCATCATACATGTCTTTTGGTGGACATATGTCTTTTTTTTCTTGAGACAGAGTCTCACTATGTCACCCTGGGTAGAATGCTGTGGTGTCACAGCTCACAGCAACCTCCAACTCTTGGGCTTAAGCGATTCTCTTGCCTCAGCCTTCCAAGTAGCTGGGACTACAGGTACCCACCACAATGCGCAGCTATTTTTTTGTTGTACTTGTCATTGTTGTTTTTAGCTGGTCCTGGCCAGGTTTGAACCCACCAGCCTTGGTATATGTGGCCAGCACCTTAACCACTGAGCTATGGGCTGCCCAGGTATCCTTGTTTTAGTGACTTCACCAGCTGCACACAGACTGATAGAGGACACCCACAGCCATAGACTTTGGGGGTGGGGGGAGGCAGACTTTGGGAGAGTTCCGTGCCCCTGGACAAACAGGCAGGCACCAGAACCTGTGGCCACAGGTCACACCAAGGTGGCTAGACCTTCTACCTCCCCCACTGCAGAACTGACAGCTTTGAGGGCTGCGCGGGAACGAGGCTTTCAAATGAAGACGTGAAGGCAGAATTCCATGAGGCACAGACTGTGGGGCTCTGCGTCACCTTACACACAGTACACTGCACTCAGTACAGGTGTGAGCGGCTCACCACTGTTACCATAGCAATAGAGCCTCGGCCAAAGTAAGTGCCCAAACACGTCTGCCGTGTGAAGGAACAAGTCACTTGTTGCCTGACCTGTGTCCGTGTTGGGATTCACGCATGTGACAAATTCAAGTATTGTTCTCTCCAGGTCCCCCGAGAAAATGCAGACACCTTGGGTTGCCAAATACCCTCCCACAAGAGGGCCAAGAGCAGCCGGAGGGGCATTCTGACAGCCATGGTGTGGTGCAGGCCACGCACCTCCTCTGACTGCCCCGTGCACACAGGAAAGCTTGAGAGGCTGACTCTGAACCTGTCACGGGTCACTCTTACCCTAGCAAATGCTGGACCAAAGGGCTTTCACCAAGAGCGAAGGGAAGAGGAGCTCACAAGAACAAGTTCAGCAACCGACCCACTCACCCGGCTTCCTGTGAACCCTGGGAACCCTGCGATTCCAGGGGGGCCACTCAGCCCAGGCAATCCTGGCAGGCCGGGTACGCCGGCAATGCCGATGTCACCTTTGGCTCCTTTGATGTAGCCGGGCCTCCCAGGTAGCCCAGGGATTCCTGACAGCCCAGGGATCCCCGGCATTCCTTGGATACCTGTGGGGAGACCCAGGTGTGTGATGCTGGTGAGGACACAGCCCCTACGCACCCCACATTTTCAGTGTCTCAGTCTGTTTGCATTTTGCAGGTCCAAGCGCTATAAAACTTTAAAAAGGAAAGCAAAGGTACTCTGACATCAGAGGACGACTGTGAGCCCCGCTGTGAAGACATCAGGGCGTCCAGAGGCCAGAAACCTAAGTCAAGATTAGCAAAGTGCAGGGGCATCTCTGGAGAGGGCAGGGGTGCAGGGCAGGGGCTTAGAGGCCAGACTCTCACCTTTCACGCCCAGGTAACCCTTCAGCCCCATGGGCCCTTCATCTCCTTTCTCCCCTTTAATGTCTTTCATTCCTGGCAAGATGATGGGAGGTGGTCCTGGGGGGCCGGGGTCCCCTCGGCTGCCTGGAAGGGAACAGATGCTGTTATTTCCTGTGGGTTCCAGGCCACGTGGGAGAGCACAGGTGGAAAAAGCCTCTTAGCCTCTGCCACAAGCCTCTGAAGCCTGTGCCCTCTCAGGGCTGCTGGCCAGGAGATGCGGGGAGGGAACCATCATAGTCAGTGTGGTCTCCAGGGTGGTATTTTTATGTGAATCCTAATGAGAGAGGGATCAGACATGATCACAGCAGAAGGCTGAAGGGAGGAGCGAGGCCAGCTCCGCACCCTTCCTCCATGAGGCCTGCTGGTAAGCGCCTGGATTCCCCACGGGGCAACCAGAGTGGGGAGGTGACCGTCACCAGCTGGCAGAGTGGGGAGGTGACCGTCACCAGCTGGCAGAATGCTGCAGGGAGCACTCTGGTGTGCTCCTGGGGTGCTAAAGAACCCCGTAGGGTGAGGGCCCGGAGGCTGCATACTGGTCGGAGATTGTGTGGTTGGTTCCGGGGGCTGAGGCTGCTCTGGAATCTGCCTTGATTGGAGGATTAAGTGGAATGTGGCCAAATGGAGGGAATTTAGCCCCATTCCTCAAGCATTTATGTAGAATTTAGTGCTAGGCTAGATTTCAGGGGCTTAAAACCTTTAAATAAATCCATCTTGTCCTCAGAGAGCTTGGTGCCCAGTGTTGGGACAGGGGCCCCTACCCTGGGGAGGCTCCAGGAAAATGTTCATTGGAGCTGAAGAGAAAATGATGTGGCCCCCAAGGGCAATTACATTTAATTTAATTTTAAAATACTGCGTTTTGCTTGATGGCCTGAAATCTCTAAGTTGACATACAGATTATCTGAAAACAAGTGTGAGTAAAAATCTTAAATAAGATCAGTGCCCTAGATTGCAATTTCTATTTTGCTGAAAATATGTAAAAGCTATAACTCTTTGGCAGTAATTAAGGTTCTTTTTTAAACAGCTTGGTTGGTGTATACGCCAC